GGGGGGGGGGGGGGGGTTGATATTAAGAAGAATATTTGCTCTAACACTTCATTATAAGATTATCTGTCTGTCTATCTTTCATTTACCAAATAATTGCAAAACAATGAAACCAACATGCTGAGGAAGTTTTCATGGCCAAATTCAAATAAGTTTATCTCAAATAAGTTCAGTAAGATCTCCTCTTTAAGATGTCTCAGAGACATATTTCTAACAATTAAAACAAATCTCTAAGAACAACAAATAGAAAATAATCTAGAATAAAATAACTATCCCAAACCACTTAACACACAACAAACACCCATGTTGTATGCAAATTCAAAAATAAAAACAATATAATTAGTCGATAGTGAATGATTCAGTGATCTTTCAGCACAGACTGAACTGCATAAATAATTACAAAGCTAAATATCTAGGTTTTACAGATATTGACCCAAAAAAACAACAAATAAACTACCATGTTCTGAAATAAAATGTTAAGTTACTCAATTAATCTAGAATAGAAATCTCATATACAAAACAGAGCTGTGGATGTTACACACGCACTGATAATAATTTGCACTAACAAGACCCTACAAGACCCATGGCACGAGTCTGGCTTATTTTAAGCCTAACAGATCATTATCGGAAATAACTTGAGGATCAATCACCTAATTAGGTGACAAGATTGTACAATGGGCTAATGACATATGATATGCAGTCAGTATATACCATTCTCTGCTGTTGGAGGTGTTGACCAGTTTACTTGGTGCTTAGTGTTGCTCACAAAACACATAATATAAACCTCATCATATAAAAATATGAATGTCAGTGCATCAGATTACTAAGCATCAAACCAAATGGCAAAACACTACCATTTGGCCATGAGCAGCACTCCTCTCTCTTGTGACCCCCAGCAGTCAAAGGTGATCAGAAGAGCGAGCGACTGATCGAACTTGATAATGAACAAGACTTTAAGCTGTGTCACTGCACATGCTCAAATCTTTAAATCACTCAATAAACACAGTGAGAGCCGCCCCCCTTCCCGGCCACCCGGACATTGTGCGAGATATTGATCCTGCCGCAGTTTTTAATACCTGGGTCTGGGACTTTGACATGAGATGGCTGGGGCCCAGGGTAAACACATGGGCCTGGGGTGAGCGGGATACAATAGACCTCCCCCCTATGCCTCCACAGAATCTTTGTGTCATTTTGTTGTCCGAGAAACCAGCTGCTGAAGAAAGAGTTCTTAGTCAGGCACCTGCTAGAAAAGGTCTCATATATAGACATACAAAATAACTGGAGGATGATGGTGAAGTGGAACAGACAGGTTAGGATAAAAGATCAGAGAATATTCTCAAAGAAAGACTTGAAATCTTTGTATGTTTAGAATTTAGTTGGACATGTTCACCTGTCCATTTGCTGCTGAAATACACATGGTGACACACACACACATACATATATTACACACTGTGTGTGTTCAAAAGTTTGGGGTCAGTAAGATATGTTTATTTATTTATGCATTTATTTATATAGTTGTGCAAGAAAGGTCTCTTATGTTTTCAGCAGCCATTACTCCAGTCTTTAGTCCTTCGAAAATCATTCTAATATGCTGATTTGCTGCTCAAGAAACATTTTTTATGATTATCAACATGAATAGAAAGTTCAAAAGCATTTATTAACAGAATTTTTGAAACAGAAATAGAACTTGATATATAAAAGTCTTCAGTTGTGTTCAATTTGAAGCACCTTGCTAAATAAAAGAAATAATTTATTTAAGAAATCTTATACTGACACCAAACATTTATACAGTAGTGTATATGTATATACTTTTTAAAATATGCAATATTTTATATATAATAAAAATAAATATATATGAATACTAAGGTGGGTATAACATTTTTGTATAAAAATTTGTGAGTTGTGTTTTATTTATAGCTTTTTTAGAAAAACTAAGCTACAAAAACAGTTTAAATACAACTTATTTACAGCTCGTGGCATTAATGTCATTTAATAACATTACAAATCACTGTACAGCCATCTTGAACTTTTGTTTTGACAAATATCGAAAGTTATGTGTTTTTAGTAGCAGTAATGTGTTTAAAGTAGCAGGCCTACATGAATGATGTGACATTTAGTATGTCAGTTTACAATATACTGCATTTAATAGCTTAAACTTAATACAAATTGAAGTAAATTAAAAAGTAAATCAAAGTAAACCGTTTTTTTTTTCTTCTCCATATTGTCCTGCCAGCTCATGGTTTGTGTGAACAAATCACCAACAAATTTGAATGTGTAAACAAATGATACTAATTGGAGTAGAGATAATAATACTGAGTCTGGTTTACAAGGCATTGGGTCATGAAAATGTCAGAATGATCTAGTTTTACTCATTCGGAGATAGACAAGACAGCCTCTTTGATTATGTGGATTGCTATACATTATTACTAGAGGAAGTGACATCAAATCTGTGCTGAAAAACATGATTTCAAGTAACTTAAGAGTGCAACACATAGACCTTCCAAGAGCCACATCACCTAAAGTGAACATTAAAACACCCTCACAATTGATGATCTGGGGGACTAGGGTCTTTGAAAACATAAACGTACAGCTGAAAAAAAATAGAGAATACTTTAACTCAACAAAAGGTCAATTACCCTCACCTCAATCTATGTCCACTTGTGAAAATATTGGCCAAAACCGGGTCAGTTTTAGCATGGTGGGAATTAAGATTGCTTGTTTGATAGGGCACTACAGCTCTGGTTGCTAGGAGCCATGGTGGTCTAGGCTTTGCAATCTATCACATTATCCCTCCTGTCAGTCCATCTCTTTCTTTCCCCCTCATTCAAACTGCAGCATTTACTCTGACGCAGTTTATCCGACCCAAGTGACGCACTGCCCATTATGAAGAGCTTCAGTGACTCTTCCTCTATGACACTCTGTTCATCGATAATCATTCCAGGTCATAACATAGTGTGAGAGAACTGGCAGGGTCAGGGGTCATCTCTTCACCTTGGCATCCTCTTTGATCTTCCAGATCATGAGTTCCATGCAGGCCCGGGCATCTTCACTGGAGTCATGCCCTCCAACTGTAAAGAGACAGGAAACTAGACATGAAACACAAAGACAGTCCAGAGCATGTTATTTAGAGCCTCTATGTGTCACATGCTATTATGTGGGTTTGATAATACACTATTATTATAATTATTATTATAAAATAATAATAAAATAAAATAATAAAAATATGATAATTATTATAAAACATTCCTTCAACAGCTAGGTAAGAAGGTGAAGCTCATATCAAGGCTAGATTTAACCACAAAGAAAAAAACATTTTATATATATATATATAAAAATTAAGCAAATTTTACACCAAATTCAAAGTAGCGTAATTCTATATGTGACCCTGGACCACAAAACCAGTCATAAGTGTCAATTTTTCAAAAAAATATAAATACTGAGAAAATCGCCTTTAAAGTTGTGCAAATTAACTTCTTAGCAATGCATATTACTAATCAAAAATTTAGTTTTAATATATTTATGGTAGGAAATTTACAAAATATCTTCATGGAACACGATCTTTACTTAATATCCTAATGATTTTTGCCATAAAAGAAAAATCGATAATTTTGACCCATACAATGTATTTTTGGTTATTGCTACAAATATTCCCCAGCGACTTGAGACTGGTTTTGTGGTCCAGGGTCACATATTTTATTTAAATTGTGAAGTATTTATATATAATAGTAGCATGGTAGTATTTGTTGTACTGAATTTAATTTATTCTCATTTAATAAAAAAAATAATCATTGTGTCCAGGCACAGTAAATACCAATGACAGCACATTCAGTTATTGGTGTCAATAATATCACAATGTGAAACTTAATCTTAATGTTCCTTAAAAGTAAGATACATTTTCTTTATGCAAAATAGAATTTGTAATTTTTTTAAGGAGTGAAATACATCCTGTACATTTTGCTGGGATTCATGCAGATGATGTAAATTAGTGCAGATTAATAGTATCCTCACCGTTGTCTTGTATAATGCGTTTGAGGTAGTCGGCCATAAGATTGCGAAGGGCACGTTTGTAGGGCAAACCCAGGCGGTGAGGAAACACAATAGCAGTGTCCACAACCAAGCTGTGAATAAGCTTGTAATCACAGAACAGGTTACATAAATAAATATTGATTAAAAGACGAAAAGCTAGTATGCTACTTTACTGCATTTATTCTGCAAGCTTAGAATATTTAGGTATTTTGTAAAGCTGCTGTTTGAACCAGCCTTTGTATCACAAGCACATGTGAAATTCCTAAAAATACTATCTAGGCAGGCTACATACTATATTTTGGCTTATTATAAAGACAGTACAAATAGTGTTTGTGTGAACCTTGAGCGCAAACAGGTCACTCTCAAGACTGTGTCCAATTAGAATGGACTCCGCACCGAACATGCTCAGCAGCACCGCCTGCACGTCTCTCAGGGTGATGGTGGTGTTCTCCAGATCATCCTGTGTCACACCTGAAAACCTGGACGTATGAGAAACGGGTGTAATTGAAACTAGAACAATTGAAAGGCAAATGAATGGCAGATCTCTTAACACAAATCCTACCGTGTGTTATAATCCACCACTTTGCTGCCAGGCTTGATAAATGTGTCATAAATAACCTTGAGGTCAGAGTTAATGACGGTCACTCTGGTCAGCTCCAAACCTTGTTTTGTGTAGCACTATAAATCAAGTATTGAGATGAAAAGAATTTAATTGAGCTGCTTGTAGTATCTTTAATATCACCTTTATAGAAACAATATAGACTTTAGTCCGCATCCTGTTTTCTTCATGAGGCTTTTTACATCCACCTAGTGTGGGAGTATTTGAATAACTGTTATTCTCACCATCTCACAGTCCAAGGCGTAGACACCTCCATTTCCATCTACTGGCAATGGTTTGCTAAAAGTCTTCACAAAACCATCCAAGGACTCTTTACGCCCATCTTGTACATGTTGCTGAAGGAAAAGAGAACAGTAAAAGCAGGTATTCTAATCCTTCAGAGACACATTACTGAACATGCTTTTTAGTAGGCTATACTTACTCTAAACACCTTATTAAAAGCTTTGCCTCCATCAACCAGCGGATTCAACTAGCAAAAGACTTCTGAACCTAAAAGACACCACCTTAAGGCAGTGTGTACAAACTGTTTTATCTTCTGTACCCTCACAGAAATATGCCTGTCATCAGCAAAAACATAAATACGTATGTAAAATTAAGTCTATTTATTTTGGAATTTATTTATTGCCATATCAAAGGATATATATATATCATGAAAATAATTTATAAATAATAAATAAAAGAAATAAAAACTACACAGTATTAACACAATTACACAATATTTGATCAGATGAGTGTGAGAGGAGTTGTTTTATTATTGCAGATTTGCAATGATTTCGGCATTTCAGCGTTTGCAGTTTTGAGAAATATAAAATCTGTGTTTTTATGCAACTACATTTACTTGAAATTATCTATAATACATAATACATTATATGTTAACATAGCAAATCTGAAATCTTATTTTAGGTTCAGATTTAGGAGAATGTCTTATTTTAGATTTAGGAAATGATTGTGGGAGATCCAATTTTTGCAGATCCACAATGATACCTACTTTAGACACTTCACATCCAGGAGAACCAACTGCACCAGAGCAGCAGTTGTAAAGTGTCTCCCAACCTCCTGGAACTATGTAAGACACAAAACATGTCAGCTGAACATGTCACTGAAATGACATGTACTGTCGCAGTTGTACTGTCTCATCCTGTCTCACAGGTACACATACCAACCTCTGTTTCTGCGTAATCTTCCCCAGTGGTGACTGCACTCCTCCTTACGCACACAGCTGCCGTTAGCATTTATCTTGTACTCGGCGCCACATCGACAACAGATTTTGAAAAAAGCTGAGGAAGAGATACAGGACACTTAATCAAAATCAAAAGTACAAAAGTTATGGTAAGGGAAGATATTTTCAAATGTAATACAATATCATCTATCACAAATGTTTCAAGTAATGTAACTTATGTTCAAAGAGTACATGAAAAACAAACTGCATTGGTGATAAAAATGTGAGCGTAGTGCCACCTAGTGGTATGGCTCTTTGTAATAAGGTTGATGTGAAGAAGCAGCATCAAGAAATTGGTCTAAGACC